GGCGTCAAGCGGCGGGTGCTCAAAGTGTGGATGCACAACAACAAACACCACCACGCCTCCGGCCAACAACACGCTGCTTCTTCTTCTGCCGGCGGCGGTGGCGGTGAGGCGGCTGTTAATGTTATCGCCGCCGCTACTACGTCTATCATTCACCCGCCGCCTTCGACGGCTGCTTGATTAATTATTAGTTAGTTAGTTATTATCGTTGGTGTTATTGCAGCTATAATCACGGGATAATTAAATGAGGTTGTTATGGTTAAGTGCGTACGTATGTACGGGTTAGTTAATTAGTAGATAACTAATGATGATGGTGGTGATTATGTTACTACACTCCTGTGCCATGCTTTTTTAGTGATTTTAATTACTGTGGTTGATTAATTATTGTTTGGTCGTTTAATAATCACTGTCTACGATGGAGTTCGTCAGTTACTCATGAGTGGTGTTATAAATACAGTATGTTACGTGACCTACACATCAGTTTGCGAGGTTCGAGGGCAAGAGATAAAATAGATGTACAAGCTGGCTGCTTTACGTGTATGTGTAAGCAAAGAGTACAAAAATTCTGTTTTTTTTTTTTTTAAGTGGTAAATATTTGAGACATGGGGTATATATATTAATAATTATATATGTCGATGAAAGAATATTACCTTTTTGTTTTGTTGTTGTTACTTGCTTGCTTTCTCTTTTTCTCTTTTTCTGTTTTTTTTTTTTTTTTGTGGGATTGATTCTCTTTATATTCCTTGGTATACTATATAAAAATCTTAAAGGTACGTAAATAATTTGAATATATGTGACTTCTAAACTAAAAATACAATTTTACTATATAGCAGTGTATACATGCGTCACTTGTAAGTAATTAACTAACCAATTGCTCTAAAATAGACGGATTTATTAGGTATTTTTCGGTGTACTTTTTCTTACTGTTATATTAATATTTATTTTATTTTAGTAAAATTAAAATATAAATCAAAAGTAACTAATAATTTTTCGATAATCGATTTCCAAATAACTTGATATCTGAAATTTTATTTTTTTTCATTTTCATTTTGGGAAATATATTAATATCATGATATTGAAGCCACCATGTAATTCTCGAATTCATACTACTATGATCTCCCAATGCTCTTTGGGTTTACCCAAATTATATAAGATTTCATGTTAAATTATATGGATCCCCTTACCATGCACTCATGCAAACCAAACAATGAATTCGAATATGAGATGAATTTTTACACCTCAACCTACAAATACACATGAGTTCTTCAAATGCATGAATTCAACATTACGTGTTACCCAAACGACCCTAAAGTAACAAGCGAAAGTTCGCAACCACACCGGTAGGCCGGCCGGCCGTTAGAAAGAAGAAAGTCCGACGGCACGGCGGCGTCATTGATATATGAGAGAGGGACGGCAAAGAGTAAATGCATCTACTCGCGGGCCCTGATTTTGGTGCTAGGGGTTTGTGAGACCAAAAGCGTCGACCCAAAAGCTAAGTCAGCAGCCTCCATGGCCAGGTTCAAACTTCAACGACCATGTAACAAGGCTAGCTGCCTAGCTTCATATCTTCTTGACCTCCACCACACCACAACCCTAAAGAAGGTATTAAATAACTAGAGAACAACAAGCATGGACTTAGGTAAGCTTTCTCGTGCACAAGTCGACTTAATGTAAGACCAATTCAGTAAATATATAGTCTAACTGAGCTAAATTTGAACGCCTTTAGAGGTTTAGCTACGTACGTACATTTTGATATGGTACCGACGACGTTGGAAACTAAGAGATTCGTTTCATTACAAACATACTTCTCAAGTGGATGATGGAAATGTGCGAACCAGGTTTATTAGAGAGTGGCATAAGATCCATCATAACTTTCTCTCAACAATTCGAGTTGTTGGGACCAACTTATTTATGACATGGTATCAGAGCCTGGTTTGGTCATGTGGTCGTGTGTTCGAATCTTCACGACCCCTAATATTAACAGTTGATTAAAGCTAGTGGCGGACCCAGAATTTTTTCATATGAGTGTCATCTTTTAAAACATAAATTAAATAAAAATAAAAATAATTAATAAAAATAAAATTATAAATATGAAAATACCTTACTCGTACAGGTTAAAAAAGTCCATGATGTGTTTTCATATTCGAAAATAATTGTAGAATACACTTGGTGTCTATAGTGTTAAAAAAATTTGTCTCTATATACACTACTAGACAATCATTCACGAACTTATCGCATATTCGATTTGTAAACTTGTTCTTGATGTAACCTAAAGCTGAAAGACTCTTTCAACACTTGCCGTACAATCATAAAATCAATACAAATTAAGGGTAGTTTGAAATTAGTTTAATTGTTAGGTTTTTAAAATAATTAGAGATAGGGAATGTCATTTTACTATTACACATTGTTCAAAATCGAACAACAAATGAGTTTAGCTCAACGGAAATTAAGTTTATTAATAATAATAGTGTTCTAGATTTGAATTATCCAACCTACCATCACTTATATTCCTATACATAAATGACAGTAGGATAATCATTTTTTCAAATTTAAGGGGTGTCCCTCACTATCATTTTTTTTTTGTCCATACGTAAATTACCACCGGGGTTGGATAATCGTTTTCCCAAAATTTAGGGGTGTTCGGGGATACCCCTACACCCTCCTGGGTCCGCCCTGATTAAAGCACAAGTATGGTGGGTTTGTGCAAACTTCAAACTCACTAGTTGGCTTTCGTTTGAGGGGGCGTGTTAAAGAGGTATAAGATTCATCATAACCTTCTCCCAACAACTCGAGTTATGGATATAGAATTGAATGATGCATAGTCAAATAATATACTTCTAGTGTGGTGCACCCACCCTTTGCCATTGCTCAAAGGTGATTAAGATAGTATATATTAACAAATCATTTAGTTAGAGATCTAATTTTGATATTTCTGTATAACCGTTATGAGTAGATACTATATACAAAGACGATAACGACAAAAGAATTAGACTAGACTAGACTATACTTACGTCTCAGATATTTTTTATATGTTGGAGAAACTATAGACTAGACTACCTCTCAAATGGACCAACACACCATATGACTGTACACCATGTACTACGAAATTCAAACAACCAAAAGTCCTCATATGACTTGCTAAATATCTCCTTTGCGCTATGTCGTCAAAGGGGGCAAAACAACAAAGACGAAGGGAAGATGCCGACCATCCTTGTTTGGACAAAGGTGACATACAATGTGCCCAAAACTGAGAGTGCATTTATGCATAAGCATGGTTCCCATTACAAATGTTTCATACATATTCATGTCTTCAAAATTTTCACAACATAGGAAAAGGAAAAAATGATGGCAAACATGTTGAATGAATATATAGGATTGCACTTCACCACACTCAAAACACAATACTTTAAAGTTACGAGTAATTTTATTGTTTTGGTAATCGCATACCATTTTCTATATTGATAGAATAAATCAAAAGATGTTAAAGCTAGGTTGTTGAAAGAATAGGGATTGTACTACCGGTTGGTGCATTGGGGCCATACTAAAGGGTTTCGAGATTAACCGGAAGGTGTTTAACGATATGGATTATTCCAATCTCGAAATTTCGACTGAAGGTCACAATCTACAATTTGCTACGGTCAAACTAGATGTCTCTATTGGTTAATTTTCGAGTTGAGTTTATCAATACCTTGCTTGGAAGAAAGAAGAAGGTGATGGTACCAACAACAAGGTGCAGAAAAGCTGATACTACTATTGTGGCAAAATTATAAGAGACAATAGTAAAGAAATGGTAGCTCGTATGTAATCAGACTCGCGATAAAAGAACTTTTCTGCTACGAAGATGACAACTCTATGAAATTTTCTAGAAGTTAAGATGCACGAAACGAAACTGACTCGAATAAATAGAAAGATGAGAGCAATTAGCCAGGAATACCATTATACAGTAAAAGGGGAAGAAGAAGAAGAAGAAGAAGAAACTCTCTCCTAGGCCCCTTCTTTTAGCTTATTATCAATGGCTCTATGTTGCTACTTGGGCTTCAATGGGATGGAACATTATAATAATAATGACGATGATGAGGGATGAAAGCAACAACACATGCTACATTTGTATATGTGCACCATGCACTCTCACCTATCGGATCCTCTGTAATAAATTTCTTTCCAAATCTTGAATAATTCAAAACTGTTCTTATCATATGACCCAAAGAAAAAACAACCCCCCAAAACAATTTTGTATTTTTCAATTCCTTGTTGGAATTATTGTTATTAGGCCCTACAAAATTAAATCCTGAAAATCGATGGGAGGATTGGACTGGCAAGGACAGGGGTTCTTAAATCTGTAAATCATAAGCAAATCTCTATATGCGAATAAGGTTTTGGTAAGAATGATATATATTACTATTGATCTTGAAGTTCAAATTTCTTAAACACATAACTAAAAGACAAACTTATATGGACGAGTTGAAAACCTAATAATCCTTCATAAGAATAGAAGAAGCATAGATTGAGGGGGTATTCATTCAAATTTAATTGCACTAGGAGGTGAATGTCATTATAATATTTGGTTGAAGTGCTCGATCTATAATAGTTTACGGAATTGTGTAGCTCGTGGACTGTGGATTGCTGTATATGTAATTTACTACGATCGGTGGTTGTGCCTGGTATGTGAAATGAATGACTGCAAGCCTAAAACATATATATTTTGAGTGACAAAGAGACACGAGAGATTGACTTCACGCATATTTTGCATTCAAAACTGGTCCTCACACAAGAAAACCTGAAACGATAAAGAGGAGGATACAACTTGAAACTTCGGAAGAAGAGCCTGGGCCAAACCCAGTTTAGAAGCCAATGACAACAGTAGTTTTGCGCTCGATCGGCCTTGGCGACTTACATGTGATCACATTTCTTATGTGAAGCCTGAGAAACTAGCACGAAACTGTAATGTTTTAACAAATTTCAATAACTCTAAACCCTAAACCCCGGGGCATGTATACCAGTATACGGATAACTCATCTTGCACTGTCCTCCAAAAAAGGATTGTAATATCTAGCACCTCTAGCAAAAAACACTACACTGACATTGTTACAGAATACTGATGGAGGCGAATTTTGAGGTGAAAGGTAAGAGTGGACATGACGAAGCAGAGAACCCTCTGCATGATATTCTGAACCAACCAACGAGCAAATTTATGATTTTTCTAAACAACCACTGCTGCACTGAATCAAACCCACCACCAGTCCACCACTACCACCAGCAGCTTGACTTATTAAATTACTGCTGCACTGACTGTACTGTAATGTAAATAGGACTCACCACCTGATCCCTTTCACCCTACCCTTAGCTACTCTGTAATAGACCATCACTCAGCTCTGCAAGCTCCTAATCTGTAGAGTAAAACGATGGGTGTACAATAGACCCGACCCGTCAACTCACCAATCTCTTTCACTCACTTTCAGTAGTCCAGGAAGCAAGGATGGCAAGCAAGCAGACGACCCAGATTTCCGTGCTGGCTTTGTCTGGTAACAAAGAGGAATGGTGGTGGGCGTGGCGTGGTTCGGTCGAGAACCGGACCGAATCGGAGATGGGCTTGAGCATGGATCAACCCATTGCCATAAACCATCAAGAAAGGATAAGGAGAAGAAACATTGAGAAGCGAACCAAAATGAGGACAGATACCAGAAGAAAAGAACAGCAAAACAACCCGCGGGGAAAGTAACAGAAAAGAGGAATGGAAGAGTGTTTCAGTTCAGCAATATGCTCTGCCTGCGTCTCCTCCTCCTGGGTTAGTCATCTTCTCTATGTACTTCTACAGTTCTACTTCTGACTGTACTACTACTACTCACAGTCACAGATCCAGTGTGCTTACTACTCTGTCGGCACTTATGATTCTCTCATTTCTTTCACCAAACCAAAACCCATCTTCAGAATGACTCCCATCAACCCAAAATCCACCAAAAGCCAGAGCCTTTTTTTCTCTTGGTGGCATGGAGTCGGCAGAAATTGCCAAAGCTTATACTGTTATACATACGAGGAGGCCGCAGCTCCTCTGGTTCATCTTGTTGCTGCCCTTGCCTCCCTCGTTCGCCTTGCCTTGCCTTGCCATCACACGGTTAGTTTCTTTGTGTTCTTTATGTCTGTTATATACTTTTTCTGGGAGATTGATCATCCGATTAGGCCAGTTAACCGGTGGTAACAAGCCGAGCTCGCCCAGGATTTAGAAGCAAGTCTGACATCCTCCAACCCTGCAACCAAAGATGCACCCACCATCAGGTTACGATCATTTCAAAAACGCCAGCCCAAACAATCTATGCGTTTGTTGAGGATTGAAACACTCAAAAGATGTAAACCAAGATGCACAAACTTAGATTGGATTTTTACCTGTTCGGCGGCTTTACTTTTGAAAGGACCGTAAAGGGTCGATACCATCTTGCATGACTCAGCAATACGATCACCAAGGTCTGCATTCGACAGAATGTAGCTCAAGGTTTTGTCCTGATCGTGAACCTTTTGAGAGGAAGATCTACGGCTATCTTGTGCTGAGTGTACGGAGTGCAGCAGAACATGAGCCTACAGTAGAATAGGTGAACACATCATCTCATAGCTCAAATAATTAGGTGAAATCATACTTCTTCTGGGAAACTATAGCGTATAATAGAAAATAGTGAGATCCTACATGGAATGCTGCTTTCAGGATATCATCCGCCTTAGCCTGGTCCTTCAGCAATGCATAAACTTTGTCCTTTGATGGGTTATAAGTTACTAAGTATCTCTCATTCTGCCAGAAAATCAAGTGTATCCATTAAATATTCAAACTATACATTAAATCGGAACCTGAAAACATTATCAAAGTCTGCACTCTGTGCAAAAAAGGTGCATACTTCAAAGAAAGGCTCTATGGCGAGATATGAACTTGGATCCTGAAAAGCATCTTTAAATCTTGGACCTGCCAAATAGGATACCCCACGTCAGGATAAATTATGTTTGTAACAAAAAGGAAATTCTGCAGGAGAGAGAGAGAGAGAGAGAGAGAGATTGCAAGCATACCAAGGACAATAGGTCCCTCCTTCAAACCAGGAGGACTGAATATCTTCTCCCTAGCATTTCCGTCTTGCAATGAAGGAACTCGCCCTGCAGAGGTGATACAGAGAACCAAAGTAGTTAAAACTTAAAACATTTATCTACAGACATAAATATACACTGCCTGCGATAATAGGCAACAAGACTCTTATGCTAGACGATCCGAGAGACAATATGGTTGCAGAACCATGGCCCACTTAGTCTAACCTGTCTTGAGGAAGGATTCGACAGCCACACTGAATCTGGCTCGGTTTAAGGTATGCAGAACCACAGATCGTACCTGACAGAGAATTGCAAAAAGGAGTTCATTCAAAGTTAAGACTAACCTTTCATGCACCTGAAAGAAGTTACCACTATAAACAAGCATGAGACGTTTGTCCCAGTAGGCTTCTCACCTCTTGATAAGAGCTGAGGAGGTACCCACATGAAAGGAGTGAAAATGTGGTCACCAGTGAAGGATTTCTTCTTGTAAGCCATATGCTAAGGCCAGTTCCCAACTTCGCAAGACAAGTTAACAAACATTTAGAACAAATGAACCAATGCACATGAACAAATATACATAGAGATGTCAAAGAACTTTTGGCTAACAATAAATATTCCTTTTTTGCAGGTTGAAAGATGCCATGACAACCAGCATTGTTAGAAGCCTATAAGTTGAACGCATGTCACTGCACCTAAAGATCTAACCCTTGTTGCACTATACCAATTATTCTAACTACTCTTGAGATTAAATTACTTTCATCAGTCGTAAATATCATAGTTTTACCAATGACCTTCGAATTTTTTATGATCGGTAGCTTTCTTTTTGGCTCAACACAGTTACCCTCTCAAACTAGAAAACCAATAAGCATACTCAACAGCAGCATCCACAGTACCTATATCCAATGGCAATAACTACTTCATTCAAGTGTTATCAAAGTGCGCACATTGATAACTCATGCTGAACCATACAAGTCAATGAAGAACCAGTCAAGCATACCAAATCCGCGATGTTGCTGACACACTCTCCCTTGGCGGTGACATCCCCAATATTTTCACCTTTAGCGAAGGCTTTGTAGATTGGTGTACGTGTAGAGGTAGATGTCACAGCTGCAACATTCTACAAGCAATTACAAGAACATCAGATGCTGCAAAACGTCAAGTCTCATGCCAAGCTAAAAGGCTCGATACAATTATGATACCTTGGCCACATTTGCCGCACATGCCATAGGAAGAAAAAGGTGTGGAAAAGCAGCAGTTGCCAACTCTACCCCAGCACCTAGCTCCATGAGGAGGTCACCAGTAAATCTCAGCTGCAATAAATAGCAGTTTCAGTTAACATCTGGGCAGCATAATGAATGATCAATTAATGCATGATACATGTACGTACCTGTTTCAGATCATAATCGAATTTCTTTCCCTGCCGAGCAAAAAGCATTTTTCCAACACGACCAGCTCCATCCTGTGGGCAGATAAAAGAGAATGACAATGCAGTGAAATCAACTTATTGCAGCTCGGTGGAAGGACAAAGCTCTATATCGCAATTGCAAGCGCCTCTTTCGTGTTATCACTAAGCATTACCTTAAGAATCCAATTAATAGCGACAGCTCCTGGAATGGCTTGCTTATGAGCAACTCCAACAGCATTTAAAAGGGTCTTTGTCGTGAAAACGCCCATTGCCCCACCAAAGAAATGCTGTGAAGAACATACCAAGACATATGCTAGTTACAAATGCATCTAACTGTCTAAGACTCTAAGTCACCAACAATGGATACCGAAGTGTAATCAGACACATCTAACTACAAAATTTGTTTTCCTGCGCTTCGAATCATAAGTAGATACCTTTAAAGCTCTGAAAGTCATATAAGGAACATATGATGGAGTGACACTATCAGGGAAACCTTCTGGCACCACGTAGGATCTTATGAATGACACCAATTCCTGCAACCAGCAAAACAACCCGCAAGAACTTGATTCAGAAAGAGTTGAACATCGACAAGTAACAACCCCCAAGTTAAAAAAAAAAAAAACTTGAAAACCAAATACAAAATTGAGCAAAGCTAGAAACTTTGAAAATCCAGCAGACAAACATCATGACAAGATTCAGAATCATAAAAAAAAAACGGAAATTAGAAGTGGAAAAGCAAGCAGCTTGAGGGAGAAAGAGCAATGCAATGACCTCAACGGGCGCCTGGGGTGTGTGCAAGCAGACAGCACGAATCGAATTCTTCTTAAACCGGCCAGAACCATCATTCTCGGCGACGTACTTCCAGCGGCGGCCATCAATCTCCTCGCAGCAGATCAATCTGAGACTCGATTGAACGAACTCATCTTCCACCAGCCCCATCCTCATCCTATCGGGGTAAACGGTGGGCACCACGACGGCGGCGGTTGGGAGCTGCTGATGCGCCGCCGAATTGGACGCAATCGTAGGAGAAGGAAGCGGAGGAGCGGAAGCGAGATTGGCGCTAATCCGGAGGGTTTCACGTACGAGGAGCCGCGCATCTGTGGCCGTGGTGGTGGAGCTGCTGAGCGACTGAGCCGTCGCTGATTTGTTGATTTTGATCGGAGGCGGCGCCATTGGAGATGCAGCGAGGAGAGGGCAATTGGGTTTTGGGGGGAGAGGAAGAGGGGAATGCAGGAGAAAAGTGGGTGGGGAAGGGAAAGGCGGGGAATTTATGGAAGGAAATGGAAGAGGGGCATTGGAAGTAACGAAGGGGAGAGGAAGAAGCAGAGTTTGCGTTTGTGTTCGATGTGGAGAAGAAGAAGGGGAAAAGGGTAGACAGCAGGTGGGCTAACAATACAATTGGCATCAACGGAGCTACTGAGACAGCACAGCACATCAAAGGCCTAGAAGAAGAATTTCTATTTTCTGCCAATAATTATTTATTATTGGGAAGCAAGAAAAAAATAAAAATTTCCACGATGGATGGATCTATGAAAATCTTGGGACACAAACTCAAGGGTTGTATTTTTGTCTTCTTTTTCAACCGTCTTCTATGAGCTTATGATATAAAATTCCCGTATCAACAACTCACATGCAAGACTCGTGCCTCATCACTCTTCATGCTCGTGATTGGTTAATGGTGAGGTAATCTTTGCTATTGGGTTTATTTTTGCATATGAATGTGAATTAAGCATGGAACAGGAAACCGGATCGTACCGGCCGGTTCAACCGGTTCAACCGGGAACCGGACCAAAAACGATACGGTAGGGTGGTGGAGAGAATTTTATCGTTTCGGTCGATTTTTGCGTTTTAACCGGCACAACCCGGCATACCGCCCGGTTTCTTTCCAACCGGCGGTAGACTAGAATTGAAGGAAGCGCCGCCCTTTCTACAACCCCTGGCCGGCTAAACAAAGGAGGCAAGTCGGCAACCCAAGACCGGCAAAAGGTCGAGCCGACCCTGCTCCGCCGCGCTGCCGTTCCTCTTCTCTTCTTTGACGATCAGAAGTTATATCGCCTTCTGCTACCGCCGTGAATCCAAGGTCACCAACACCACCTTTGTTTCTTACTACTCCAATAGTTACAGGCAGAGCGAGGAGAGTAATGCTCCGATTGAAAAGAAAAAGAAAAAACAGAGATTTATCTTGCTTCTCAAGGTCGAAGAGCAGAGAGAGGTAGTGAGGGAAGAGAGATCGAGGGCCATGTTTGTTTATTTCCTGATCTAGATTGATATCTGGTGGAGGAAAAGCTACATGCATAAAGAAAAAGGTTCTCCGATTGTCAGAACTTAGAAGAGAATAAAGAAAGCAAAACAGAGCTTCATCTTGCTCTGGATCTGGGTTGAGGATGAGAGAGAGTCGGAAAGGGAAGAGAGAAAGTGAAGGATATGTGGATGTGGTAGTAGGTGTAGAGATAATGAGAAAAAGTAATTCAAAAAGAAAGAATAAATGAGTGAAAATTAAATTATTAGTTCATTAATTATTTGTTGGACAAGGGATAAGGATCAAGAAAGCTCCATTGTTATGTTAAGGTAGTCAAAGAAGAAGACTTAGAGAAGGAACGCTTGCTTATTTTTCTAGTTTGTTAGAGTGGAAAATTAGGGACAACAATTGGGGGTTTATTGGAATCATTCGAATGAAACCATATCCTAAATCTAGTATATTCCTATTTAGTTTATTTAGGTTTGCTATCCGGTATATGCCGGTTTTATTCCGGTATTCTCCGAAACGGTATCCTAAATATGGCGGTATGATTTTTTAACAAAAAAATATTTTTTAATTACAAAAATGGTATTTTGCCGGTACACAACGGTTGAATCACGGTTGTACCACAAAATACCCTACCACTGACGGATCCGGTATGACTTCCGGTACGGTTTCCTTTACCATGGAATTAAGAGGTTTAGAGAATGACTAAATAAGATGTTCTTTCTTAATTAGGTTTGTCTCTCTTATCTATGAATGAGCTCTTGCTTGATGAATTCTGCTTAATTTCTCGCCATAGATGTAACCCTTTTAACAGAAAAAAAACAAATTTGGATCGACGATTGAATGTACAGATGATTGTTAAAACTATGATACTAATAATTAAGGGGTTTAGAGAATAACTTCTTCGCATGTTCCTTCTCTAGTTAAAAGTGTCTCTTGGGATCGGTTAGCATGCTAACCCTTGTATGGGTTGGCAAAATGACAACCCCTATTAATTGGGTTAAAGACACATTTGGTCACTGAGATGACTAAATCGGGACATGTTTAGTCACTAGAAAAAATTAATATCAATTTTAGTCACTCGAATTACTGAAACAGGTCACATTTAGTCACTCTCCGTTAGTCTCCTTCCAACTCCGTTAATGAAGTCCGTTAAGTGCTGATGTGGCAAACAGAATTTCCTAATAAGCCAGATATAACCCAAGAAAAATAAAACCCGACCCGCCACGTCATTAAACCCAACCCAACCCAATCCATGACCCAACCCAACCTTTCTTCCTCCTTCCTCCCACCTCCTCCTTTCCCCAAAACCACCACTGCAACTGCTCTCCTCCTTCCTCCCACCTCCTCCCTCAAACCTATTCAACCTGACCGAACACCAAATCCGTTCGTCTCCTCTGTTACATTTCTTCCCCCAAATCCCAACCCAACTAGAAAATAAAAAGAACCCCTTTCCCATTTCTCTCCACAACAATCTGATCTACATTCACAAAAAAAACCACAGCAATCCAATCTTCTTCTCAATTCACACACCTCTACTCCTCCTTCAATCAGCACAAAAATGGTGTCCCTTCCCCATTCCATAATTCTCCTCTCCCTCATCCTTTCCACCCTCACCATCTCCACCATTGCTCAATCCAAGCCCAGATCCCTAATCCTCCCGCTCACCAAAGACCGCGCCACCAACCAAATCCTCACCCGCCTCGATCTCGGCACTCCCCAAGTCTCCCGTAACTTCATCGTCGACATCGCCGGCCGACAGCTCTGGCTCGATTGCTGTAGCGGCTTCTCCAATTCCTCCTCCACCTACCGCCTAGCTCGCTGCGGCTCCGCCGCCTGCTCCGTCTCCAAAGCCGAATGCAAGTCCCCCTGCTTCCTCCCCCCGCAGCCGGGTTGCTTCAACAACTCTTGCACCGTCCTGACCCGTAACCCGATCCGGACGACAGGTGGCAGATCCGAAGTCGCCCTCGATACGGTGTCGCTTCACTCCACCTCCACGAGCGGCGCACGTGGCGGGCCCCACATCTCAATCCCCAATTTCATCTTCGCCTGCGAAACCGTCTTCGGGCTCGATAACCTAGCCGCCGGGGTAGAACCGTAGAAGGCGCACTCGGCCTCTCCAGTGAGCGAATTGGCCTCCCGTCGCAGATCTCGATAAAAGCCAAAGGGTCGGTTTGGTGGGTTAGGATTTATTTCTGGGTCGGGTTGGGTTAATGAATTGGGTTGGGTTTAATATATGGCGGGTTTAGTGACGTGGTGGGTCTGGTTTGACCATTTCTTGCCCAAAACGGCTCTGACTAGGCGCTCACGTTAGCCACTTCAGCACATAACAGACTCTTTTAACGGAGTTGGACGGCAACTAACGACGAGTGACTAAATGTTTCCAATTTTAGTAATTGTAGTGACCAAATTTGATATTAACTTTTTATAGTGACTAAACATGTCCCGATTTTGTAATCTCAGTGACCAAATGTGTCTTTAACCCCCTATTAATTATAGGTTTTTAAGGTAATTAATTTGTGTTGCATTTAATAATCTGTATGAATTAAAAACATATATTAATTACTTTCCTTTTTTCAGTGCACTGGTAGTTGTATCAGTGCACTGGTATACTGAACTCATATTAATTACGTTCCTTTTTTGGAACTACCATTGCAGTGATACATCTACCATTGCACCTGCACCTGTACACAACTACCAGTGCACTGATACAACTACCAGTGCACTGAAAAAAGGAAAGTAATTAATATGTGTTTTTAATTCATACAGATTATTAAATGCAACACAAATTAATTACCTTAAAAACCTATAATTAATAGGGGTTGTCATTTTGCCAACCCTTTTATGGGTAGGCATGCTATCTCATCCTGTGTCTCTTCTTTATGAATGTGCCACAAATTATTTATTAATTAACGACAGAGGAGTGCAACACTTTTGCAGACAAATATGATGAAGTGTATTGCTTGTGATGAGTCAAGATCCATAGACATGTTGAAGCTACGATTGTTTTCTTGTTATTGTATATCATGGTTGAATATTAGATGCAAATCATTGTGTCAAGAAATTAAAGTTACTCACAAGTTATTGAGATGCAGTGTTAACGATTTTCCTTATTAGGATGAAGTGTTGGGGCATACAAAAGTTGCTTGGAATAAGATAGGTATATTAAAGAGAAATGGCGAAATAGGGATAAAAGACTTCAGGGTTTGGAATTTCGCACACCGTGAAGTTTACATTTAACTTATAATGTTTGTAATGTTTTGTGCCATTGAGGTGTAGAGATTTCTCCTTGCATAACCAAAATCTTAATACATGTAAAGAAACTTGAGGTTGCATTTGTTTTATTGCTTCAATTATTTCGTGTTCCAAGGCTTGACAACACTAAATTGACTAAACATGAAGATAGTATTAGTTAGATGCCAAGATATGGATGAATAATAAACAAATTTGATCATCGGCTAACCAACCGGGAGTGCCATGTTTTCTGTTTTCGCGATTTACTAGAGCAAGGACAAACAATCAAACTATGAAAACAACTAAGGTTTGTTGTTCAAGTCATCAACAATGCTCACCTCACACTCTTGATCCATTCATTTGATCCTAGATCAAATGGTTCATACAGGAGGTTCGTATCCGCTTTTCATCTTTATTTGTTGTTATAAATCTTTATTTTTGCAAACATTTTTTCTTAATCGTTTGGCTTGTTGCATGCCAATTTCTCAATCTTAGCTCTATTCCCCTAGTCTCATATGTTCATAATTTCCACTTCATCTCTAGCGGATTCATAGAAATAATCATATTTGTGAATTTTCATGTATGTAGTTTTTTGTGTTTAAAACATTCGTTTCAGTAAATTATCAAATTGTTTTAATTTTTTTAAATTAATTTGATTGCTCCCGTACTCAATGTATAAAATTTGTATAATACGTTATTATTTTATATTTATCAAATTAAATTGATTATTTAAATATAACTAAACTATTTATTAAAATTTATCATAATTAATTCGATACTTTGGATTTTGGAATTTGGATCGAGTACAAGTTCAAGGGGAGAGTAGCGACTAGCGAGTATCGGCATTCGTCACCGAGTTGCGAGTCCTCAGTCCTCAGTCCTCGCTCGCGCACTCCACACTGCACACTTAGAATTGCCGAATTGGAAGACAATACAGACGGAGAGAGTAGTAAGCGAACCAGCGACGCCGCCATACAAAAAGGTTACAACTGAGAAGAAACCTTTTGTCCACCACCACCGCCGATCATTCTCCAA